TGTTGCTTACTCCTAGAGAGCAGTCCCAGAGCAGTGTAGGGGACGTGGTGTGGAGTGGAAGAGGAAGGAGGAAGGGGTGATAAGGCAGAGAAGAGTTCAAACCACAGCATATATCCTAGGGAGAGCTCTAAGTCTGTGTCAAAGAAATACTTTGATGAGCTACTTGGAGGAGGTTAGGGCATCAAGGTCCTGCTCAGGCAACAAGAGATCTCAGCTGAATGGATATGCATGATGCAAGAAGAAAGATTTTTTTTTCTCCTAAAAAGAAGGGAAAAGTGGAAAAGAGGAAAAGGGCTGAACCATTAGGACAGCAGGAAGCCCTACCTTCCCCAAATCCTCAGAGAATCCTATAAAATCCACAAATGCCTGGGGTAAACTGGTTTCCTATAGAAATCATTGAAGGCAGACAGGCAAGAAGACTTCAGCTAACATCTGGGTTCCTTTTGAAAGCTGCATCTTTTCCTGATTTGAAGGGGTGAGAGATGGTAAGAAGCCATAAACCACTTCCTCAGTCTCTCTGACTAGCTTCTCAATCTTTGCTTCTGTGTTTGGTTAATTATGTTATGGACCACAAGGCAGGCCCTCAAATTCTAGACCGCAGACTGTCCAATGGCAAAGAAGCAGCGTTGTGAGACAGGTGTGAGCATTGTCAGCCCATCTTGGGGAGAAATGAATTGAAGTATCATTATGTGATTTGCCAAAACAACACTTCGAGTTTATCGTTGGTGCCCTCTGAATTTCTGCCAAGGAAAAACATCTAATCAGAGTGATTGCACAAAGTGGTTTTCACCTGCTATGATGCTGCCGAACTTAATCAAAAAGCATTTATTAAGTACTTAATTGCATGCAGTGCTGTGCTGGATACCCACAGAGAGAAGTATGCGCACTGGCCCCTCCTTTCCGGCAGTTTGCATATGGAGAATTGCAGGAGACAGAGAAGAAGACAGGAAGGAAGCCAAAATTTCATGAGTTCCTCATATGTGCCAAGGCCATGTACAGATTCAACGCATGACTTAATCCTTCCTGTCACCGTATGCGACACGTATCACTGTGTCCATCTCATAGAGGGTTATGCTGTAGAGCTGGAATTCAAGCTGAGTTTTTGGCTCGAAGGATCTTTCTCCACTCCACGGTGGTGTGGGAGGGGGCCAGGCTGACATGGGAAAGTGTGCCCAGAATGAAAAGCCTCCTTAAATCAATAAGATGATTTCTAAGCATTTAGAGATGGAAGGCAGAGATATGTATGTGCTATGAGATCAAAGGAAAAATGCCCTGTGGACAGTTTTTTCAGCCTCCAAAATTTTGAGATGAAAACATTTTCTTCATTATCTAAGGCTTGGGGTGCCTGAGAAATAGCTGCCCCCTTGTCTCTCCTACCTCTCACTCCCCGCTCTTCCCCCCACCTCCATCAGGCTATGTAAGAGACTCTGACAATGCCTTTGAGGTTATGCCTATACCGGAGCCAGTGAACCTGCCCCACATGCAGGGGCATTCTGGGAATACAGCTATAAGTTTATCGCAGGATCCACAGCAAACCCGCCCAAATGAGAAACTCACTGCTGCTGGTAGCCCAACAACGTTCCAGGATGCCCAGCCAAGGACCTGTCACCCACGTAGCCATTCGCTTACTGCCTGGCATTAGCCCGCCACTCACTACCAGCATGTAATGTTTGAGTGTTGGCCGGTGGGGGGTGGGGGAAGGGGGCTCCCTCTGCTTTGTCTCAGACATCCTACACTATTTACCTACCCATGTCCACCATCAGCCCCTCGGGTGTTTCACATAGATCTCATTATCCATGTCTTGATCTAATTAACAAAGAGCAGGGGTGACTCCGCATTTCAACATCTTGCCATACCTCTTCTCTTCACCCCTGCAGGCGCTCCTTTCTGTTCTTCTACCTTCCCTCTCGTCTCTGTTCCTCCTTCCCACAGCTCTCCTCCTAGCCCATCCTACTTGCTCTATTTCTCCCACTCCCTCCCTACGTTCCATTAGGGTCTTACTTTTACACCGTGAACTGTGTTTCTCCTTGATTGAGGTCAGTTCAGCCACGATTTGTTGCATATTTAGTTTTGGGCTGTGTGTGGTAGATTCTGCCTTAGGGTGTCTGAGGTGTAGTCAGGGTGGGGTTGGGGGGGGGTGTAAGGCATAACCAGGATACCTCTAGTAACTACAGGAAATAATTATTTTTGGGAGTCAGACAGAAGCACCTGGGTGGCTTGGTCAGTGGAGCTTGTGACTCTTGATCTAGGGGTTGTGAGTTTGAGCCCCACATTGGCAATAGATATTACTTCAAAAAAATAAATTAAAATGGTGGCCTGGTGGCTCAGTCGAGTGTCTGACCTCAGCTCAGGTCATGATCTCCCAGTTTGTGGGTTCAAGCCCCACACTGGGCTCTGTGCTGACAGCTCAGAGCTGCTTCGGATTTTGTGTCTCCCTTTTTCTCTGCCCCTCCCCCACTCATGCTCTGTCTGTCTCTCTCAAAAAGAATAAACTTAAAAAAATAATAAATTAAATACAATATTATTGGGAGTCAGATGGAAAAATGGTATCTACTGGTATGTACAGAGATGAGAAAGATCTTTGTCTTCTTTTTAGCCTTCTGAACTCTGAATACGTGACTTAAAATTTGTTCATCTCTCATTCACTAAAGAATAAAGGTCAATTAAAAACATGAAAAGAATGAGGAAATGATATTTCTTTAAAAAAAATTCAGGGTTATTACTTTCAAGTGGCTGGAGAAAGGCTGTATAGGGAAAGAAGAGGGGGTGGTGTGTTGCTATGTGTTGAGTGGACAGGCCTTATTTCCAAGGCACAAGTGCAGACCTTGGTCTTGAGTCAACGGCCTTGCTCGGTGCTGAGGAGATGGCCTCTGTGGTCTGCAGTCCTGGAGGACTCCTCCCTGAATTTCTATTCTGTTTCCTCCCTCCCTCCTTCCCTCCCTCCCTCTTACCCTTCCTTCCTTCCTTCCTTCCTTCCTTCCTTCCTTCCTTCCTTCCATTACAATTCCTCAAGTTTGATCCCAGGGTCATGGGATCAAGCCCTACATCATGCTCTATGCTGAGCATGAAGCCTGCTTGGGATTCTCTCTCTCTGTCTCTCTGCCCCTCTCCCCTGCTCATGCTCTCTCTAACATAAGAATATAAAATAAGATAAAATTAAATTAAATTAAACTATAGCATCTTTTGTTGTTTTATTAATCTGCATTTTCAAGATTATGAGTGAAACCGAACATACTTAGGCTATTTGCATGTCTATTTCTGTAAATTAGTTGTTCTTATCATTTGCTCAGTTAAAAAAAATTTCTTTTTTGTTTAACATTAACCTGAAGTACTTTTTGTACAAAATTAGCTCTTTATCATGTGAGTTGGAATTAAGATCATGCAATAATTCATAGCTGCATGGTAAACAATTTTGTGTGTGTGTTACAGACTTTTTCAAACCTATATTTTTATTGTTTTAAAATATTTGTAACATATCATTTACAATGTTAACCATTTTTCAGTGTACAATTCAGTGGCATTACATTTATAATATTATTTGGCCATCACCACTATTGATTTTCAAAAAATGTCCTCACCCCAAATAAAAACATTTACCCATTATGGAATAATCCCCACTCTCTCCTTTCACCAGCGGCTGGTGATCTCTAATCTACTATCAGTTTCTTCTAGATATTTATAGGAGTGGAATCATATAATATTTGTCCTTTTGGGTCTCACTTATTTCACTTAGCATAGTATCTTCAAGGTTCATTCACACTACAGCAAATACCAGAACTTCGTTCCTTTTTATTGGCTAGATAATATTCCATTGTATGTATATCCTACATTTTGTTTATCCATTCATCTATTGATGGACACTTGGGTTGTTTCCACTTCTTGGCTATTGTGAACAATGCTGTAATATACAGTGAGATACAAGTGCTTGTGTGAGTGCCTTCTTTTAATTTCTTTGGCTATGTGTGTAGGAGTGAAATTCTCTCTCTTTTTTTTTTAATGTTCTGAGAGAGAGAGAGCATGAGCAGGGAGGTCAGAGAGAGAGGGAGACACAGAATCTGAAACAGTCTTCAGGCTCTGAGCTGGCTGTCAGCACAGAGCCAGACGCGGGGCTCAAACCCACAAACCGTGAGATCATGACCTGGGCTGAAGTTGGATGCTTAACCGACTGAGTGACCCAGGCACCCCAGGAGTGAAATTCTCTTAAGCTAACTTTATGTTTACTATTTTTTTTTTGTTTTGTTTTTACAAATAGTTTATTGTCAAATTAGTTTCCATATGTTTACTATTTTGAAGGCCAAACTGTTTTGGCTGCATCACTTAGTTCCCACCAGCAATGTATAAGAATTCCAAATTTTTCTACATTGTCACCAACATTTGTTATCTCTTCTTTTTCTTTTTTTTTTTTTTTAAGACACAAAACTTAATTTAATAGAAATTTTGTTTGTAGTTCTTACATTCTCAGTGTGACCCGAGCTGGAACCCACTGCCCCACCCAGAAGTGGCCCAGTCCTGGGAGCAGGGGAGGAAGGGAGGTGGTAGGTAGGGGTCAGAGCTCAGGCCCTAGGAGCCCTGTTCCTCCTCAGTGCTGGGGGCTGGGGATGCCACCCTCTTCTCCTGCCCCCTTCCATCCCCCCAACCCCCCCACCCCCGGATCCAGGAAGGAGAGCAGATGGAATCTCGGGCCTGGGGCTTCTCCACACTCCCCTGCCCCCCTCACTTCAGAGGGGAACTAAGGGATCTGGGGAGAGAAGGGGACAGAAGGCGGCAGAGATGTCAATCAAGAAAGAGGAGGACCAGGAGTAAGGGCCGAGGAGAATCAGAAACAAACACCAGTTTAAAAAAAAGGGGTGGGGGGAAACAAAACCAAAATCCACCCCAAATTACAACCTGCCCGGAAAAAACGCAAAGTTCTCCAGTCTCATTGAGATTATCGGGCGCGGCCGGCTCTGCGGCGGGAGCGCTCAGGCCTCAGTCCAGCCCTGGAGGTGGTGGTGGGGCCCCTACAGCTCGGCCTTGTCCTGGCCAGTGGCAGCATCTGCCTCCTCCTCTTCCTCCTTTAGCCTCTGTTCCTCGTCCTGCTTGGCCTTCAGCTGCTTTTCCGCCGCCTTCGTGACACCCCGTGACACCCCAGGTCTCGTTTCCAAACTCCTCTGCATACACCTCGTCGCTGGTGACGAGGAAGTTGTCAAAAGTGGTGCCAGACTCAGGGCGCCTGGGTGGCTCAGTCGGTTGAGCGGCCGACTTCAGCTCAGGTCAGGATCTCACTTCGTGGGTTCGAGCCCCACGTCGGGCTCTGTGCTGACTGCCCGCTCGGAGCCTGGAGCCTGTTTCAGTCTGTGACTCCCTCTCTCCCTGACCCTCCCCTGCTCACGCTGTCTCTCTCTCTCTCTCCTAGAAATAAATAAAACATTAAAAAAAAAAAGTGGTGCCAGACTTGACCTGCCAGAGATCGAAGCCCAGAACCGCGGAGTTTTCATAGGCATAGAAGTTGCTATCAGGGGAGTACTCGGGGCTGTCGATCTCCGGGTGGAGCCAAGTGCCTTTGTAACCCGGGTTGTCGAGCTGCCGGGGCTTGACTCGCCCTTGTCCTGCGGGTTCCGAATCGCCGGTGGTTCCCGCTCTCCGTCCATCTCCTCATCCCGGTCCTCTGGCTTTTTATTTTTATTTTTTTTTAATTTTTTTAATGTTTTATTTATTTCTAGGAGAGAGAGAGAGACAGCGTGAGCAGGGGAGGGTCAGAGAGAGAGGGAGTCACAGACTGAAACAGGCTCCAGGCTCTGAGCTGGCAGTCAGCACAGAGCCCGACGCGGGGCTCGAACCCACGAACCGCGAGATCATGACCCAAGCGAAAGTCGGACGCCCAACCGACTAAGCCACCCAGGCGCCCCAGTCGTGTGGCTTTTTAGCCTCAGGGTCGGGAATGTGCTCGGGCTCGTCCCAGTCTTCAGGCTTCGCGGCATCAGGATCCTTGATCTTCTTGGGCGGCAAGAAGTCCCGATCGTCCTCCAAGGAGCCTGACTCCACCTGGCTGCTGCTGATCTTCACCTCACAGGTGTTTTCCGGCCGCACAATCGGCGTATACAGGTGTGTGAATTCATCAACCTTGCAACGCATGTCCCTGTCGATCAGCACGTCCTTGCCCTTGCAGTTGACGATGACAGGAACCTTCCTGGTGCCAGGACCACGGATTTCCGGCCCAAACAGGATGCTGTACTCCGAGTCCCCGCGCGCGTCCGTCTGGTGCGAGCCCTCCGGAAACGGCTTCCCGTAGCCGCCCCCTCAGTCGATGTTCTGCTGGTGTTGGACTGTGAACCGCACCACCGCGTGTGGCCCTTGTTGCTAAAGGGCCCGAATCTGGCCGACGAGGCGTAAAAGCGGGCATCCTGGCTTGTCTGCAGCCCTTGATCCTTTTCCTGGTCGCCGTAGAACTTGCCGGAACTGAGAACAAATTTACCAAAACCTGACTTGTGTTTGGATTCAGTCCAGCGATCAGTCCACCCGTCTCCGTCCAGAAACTGCTCCTTGAGGTAGACGGTGGGTTCGGCGGCGGCCAGGCCGAGGCGGCGGCGGCGCGCGGGCCCTTTAAATCTCTCCTCCCGACTCGGCTCTGCAGTAGGGACTATCTTCTGTTTTTCTAAGTATAGCCATTCTGTAGTGGGTGTGAAGTACTATCTCACGGTAGTTTTTGATTTGCATTTCCCTAATGACTAAGGATGTTGAGCATCTTTTTGTGTGCTTATTGATTATTTAGATATATTTGGGAAAATGTCTGTTCCAGTCCTTTGCCCATTTTTAAATTGAGTGACTCGGTTTTTGTTATTGTTGTTGCCATTGTCTTTGAGTTGTAGGGGTTCTTTCTATATTCTAGGTAATAAATCCTTCTAAGATATATGATTTCTCATTCTGTGGATTGTCTTTTCACATTCTTGATGGTGTCTTTTGATACACAAAAATTTTTAATTTTATTTTATCTTACTTATTGTTATTTTTTGACACAGAGGGAGAGAGAGAGAGAGAGAGAGAGAGAGAGTGTGTGTGTGTGTGTGTGTGAGTGGGGTAGAGAGAGGGAAAGAGACAGAGAATCCTAAGGAGGCTCCATGCTTGATGCAGAGTCAAACATGGGGTTTGATTCCACAACCCCAGGACCATGACCCAAGCCGAAATCAAGAGTCACATGCTCAACTGACAGCCACCCAAGTGCCCCCAAAAGTTTTTAATTTTAATGAAGTCCAATTTATCTATTTTTTCTTTTGTTGCCTATACTGTTGTAATGTTTTTAAAACAATTGCCAAATTCAAGGTCATGCAAATCTGTCTTTATATTTTAACAATTTTATAGCTTAGCCTGTTAAATTTAGAGCTTTAATTCATTTTGTGTAATTTTTTAAGATGGTGTGGATACTCGGTTTTTCGAGCACAATGCATGAAAGAGACTAAGCTTTCCCCCATGAATGATCTTGGCACTCTGTTGAAAATCAATTAACCATAGATGTGTGGATTTATTTATTTATTCAATTCTATTCCACTGGTGTATGTATCTAACTTTATGTTAGTACCATGCTGTTTTGATTACTATATCTCTATAGATAGTTTTGAAATCAGAAAGCATGAGTCTTCCAAATTTGTTATTCTTATTTCTTATTATTGCAGATTTGCTAGGTTCCTTGAAATTCCATGTGATTTTTAAGATGGGTTTTTCCATTTATGAAAAAAATACTGTTAAGATTTTCTTAGTGATTGCATTGAATCTGCATAGTACTGTGGGTAATATTGTGATCTTAACAATACTAATTCTTGCAATCCATGAACATAGGATGTCTTTCCATTTATTTAAGTCTTTAATTTTTTTTCAGCAATATTTCCTAGTTTTAGTGTACAAGTCTTGAACCTCCTTGGTTAAATTTATTCCTAAGTATGTTATTCTTTTTGTGCTATTATAAATGGTATTATTTTCTTAATTTCTATTTTTGGAGTGTTTGTTGTTAGTGTATAGAAATGCAACTCAGTTTTTGAGTTGGTTTTGTAACCTGAAACTTTGATATATTTGTTTATTAGTTCTAACAGTGTTTTTGTGGATTCTTTAAGGTTTTCTAGATATAACATCATGTCTTCTATGAATGGAGATAGTTTTACTTTTTCTTTCCAGTTTGAATGCCTTCTATTTCTTTTTATTGCCTAATTTCTCTAGCTCTGTATACTTTCATAGAATATATTTGCATATCAAAATATGTTTTATTGCATTATATATGTATTCTTTTTTCATTAAAAGAATATAGCATGACTTTTATTTTGCAACCTACTATTATGACATACTATATTATACAGCCTCTTTTTGCCAACAAATACAGATCTATTTCATTTAAAAGATTGTTGGATAATATTCTAAGTATGGATACATAGTTTACTTAACTATTCTACAAATAATAAATACTTGGATTGTTTCCAATTACTTGGTATTTGGCATTTATATTTTAATTTTAGGTTGTCTTTTTCTTTCTCATACAGAAGTTTCAAACTTTTTATGTAATCAAATGTATTGCACTTTTTTCTTTAGTGCTTTGAGTTTGGGGTCATCAATGGAAAGCCTTTCTTTTTTTCTTCAACTATGTTTCAATATTTTTTCCCTAGAACTTTCGTTAACCTATTTTTATGTTTAAATCTTTGAACTATCAGGAACTTATTTTGGCTTAAGAAATACGGGAGTGATCAGGTTTACTTTCTTCCAAATGGCTAGCTGACTTTCCCAACACCATTCATTACATAATCCATCAACTGAGAAGTACTTATAAAAGAAATATAAAGTTCAAGTTGAGGGTGTCTGGGTGACTCAGTTCGTTAAACTTCCAACTTTATTCAGCTCAGGCCATGCTTTCACAGTTCATGACCTTGAGCCCTGCGTCAGGCTCTCTGCTGACAGCTCAGAGCCTGGAGCCTACTTTGGATTCAGTATCTCCCTCTCTCTCTGCCCTTCCCTCACTTGCTCTCCCATTCTCTCTCTCTCTCTCAAAAATAAATAAAACATTAAAAAAAAACCACTTTAAAGTTCAAATTGAAAAAGAAATAGGAGGGGCGCCAGGATGGCTTAGTCGGTTAAGCGTCCAACTTTGGCTCAAGTCATGATCTCACGCTTCATGGGTTCGAGCCCTGCATCGGGCTCTGTGCTGACAGCTAGCTCAGAGCCTGGAGCCTGTCTTCGTATTCTGTGTGTCTCTCTCTCTGACCCTCCTCTGCTCACGCTGTCTCTCCCTCTCTCTCTCTCAAAAATAAATAAAACATTAAAAAAAAACATTTTAAAGTTCAAGTTGAAAAAGAAATAGGACCTTTTTAACTCCACAAGGATTATACAGGCAAAGACAGACTCTGAGAGTGAGTCTCCTGAAACAGAGTGAAGCCTACTTATCTTTCAGAACTGAATTAGAGCCAAATTAGGGAGCTACTACTCAGCTCAGTGTGCAAGACTACAGCTTCTAATTTGGGTTCTTTATTTAGTCCGAATATCCCTCCCTTTCTACTTTTCTCTGTGAAACCCAATTCAATTGCCACCTCACCCATAATGAAATTATTTCCTCATTCTCCAAAACTTGGTTTTTGCTCCTGCTCTACTTCAAATACATGTCTAGGAATCCTTTTCAACTGTGAGCTCTAAGAATAGAAAGGTAAAAATGGGAAAAGGTTGACAGGAGATACAAGAAAATTGGGCTGACTCTGGAGACCCGAACAGAGTATTAAAGCATAATTAGGAGAAAGCTGAGGCCTGATGGGAATTCATGAGTATAATGTACTGAGCCCACGTAGAGGTTCATTCTAAAGAGTCTAAGGCAAATCCAAGATCAGCATTTAAAGAGACTAGCCAGGAGGCAAGGAATAATAATAGGAAACAAAACCTACTGATTTTTAGTTTGCTACAGGGCCTACCAGTGTCCCATGTTGGAGGACTTTAATAAATATTTATTGATGAATAAATGAATAAGTGAGTACAGAACATGAAATCAAATGCCAATTTTCTCTATCTTTAACAAATGACCTTGGGCGAATCATTTAAATTCTCTTCCCAATTTTCTCAACTGTAAAATGCAAGTAAAGGTGCCTGGGTGGCTCAGTTGGTTAAGGATCTGACTCTTGATTTCGTTTCAGGTCGTGATCTCACAGTTTGTAGGATTGAGACTCGCCTCGGTCTCCATGCTGACAGTGCAGAGCCTGCTTGGGATTCTCTCTCTCCCTCTTTTTTTTGCTATGTCCCTGCTTGCATACTTGTGCTCTCTTTCTCCCTCTCTCAAAATAAATAAACTTTTAAGAACTAGATTTAAAAAGTGAAATGAAGTGCAAGTAATAATATTACACAACCCCAGCTCTGAGGACTGTCATAAGGACCAAAACAGTATGTGGTTCTCAAATGTGTAAGTGCTTTGTCATTTGGCACGACCATATAAACACTCAGAAAGGCAGGGCATACACACACCCATGTACAAATTTACATATTATTTGTTTCTGTCTTCTGTTTTATCTCCTTTTTAACGCTCTAAGGAACTTAATTTTTTACTTACTTTAAAGAATAAGCCCATGTCTAGCTTATATTAACAACAAAGGTGTTGTAAACAACATATCATTGCATATTTCACCTTGGTCCGAACAACTTCAGAGACTTGGAAGTTATAAGGTTTTCTAAATATTGGAAAATCAACATAAGTATTTTACAAGTTATTGGAGGACATTTTCAAATGTGCTTTAAACTTCAGCACATTGAATTATGAATTGCATTTTAAAACAAAAATTTTACTTCTTAAACTTCTAGAACTTAATTAAATGAGACATCACTGCAAAAAGCTTAAAGCCCCATTGTCTGGTTTATTCTGAAATAAGGAAATCCTCCCATGAAAATGCTGAAAACTAACTTGGCTGGATATAGAGCCTGGCACTCAGCATTAGAGTAGAATCAGAAGTGAGCAGAGATCAGGTGAGATTAGCTCCAGAATTACTAAGGAGGAGCCTGGATTTTCGTGAAGTTACCAAAATGCATTTCCATCCTAAGTTTCTGTAAATGCTTTTCTAAAACTTTAAAAGGAAAAAAATTCTTGGTCTAAAACTTCACACACTTGGTATCTATCCAGAGATAAATTATTTTTGGAAGTTTTAGCAAATTTGTTCTCCCACTCCCGAATTAGTCAGTGAAGCTAAAATAAATCTTTCTGCCTTCAGAAACAAGTGTGTTTTTAAATGTCAGCACAAGAACTTCAAGAGAATACAAACCAATAACGTGGGAGGAGGTGCTGGATAACAAGTCTGGAATTTAGGGTCTAATGACCTCTAAATATACATTTTTTTTGCCCAAATTTGAAGTGTTTGGTTACAATTGGATTCTATTTGTGGAACGTGGTACTCTCAAAGACCCCCAAATTTATGGAACAAATAAATGGAAATGGCAGAATGTTTCCAATTGCTCACAATTTAACAATGTCATTAAATTTCTTTCCAGAAAAAAAGATTTCTAGGAAAAGTATATAAGCCAAAAATAATTTGATCCATTAAAATAACTGTTAACTTACTTTTTCTGCCTGTTCATTGTAAGGGAAGTTGTCAGCAGTATCTCTCTAAGTGCCTAAGAGAGGCTTAGCTACAAACCATTATCCAAAACCAGAGTTTGGAATAAGTGCATTCCTGACAGAGGTACAGAGAAACTTAAGAGAACTGTAGAAAAGTCTAGCTAGGATCGACTCAATCTAAAATTTGATTTAAAAAACAAGTTAGGGGGCACCTGAGTGTCTCAGTCGGTTAAGTGACCAACTCTTGATTTCAGCTCAGGTCACGATCTCACAATTGGTAAGTTCGAGCTCCACATCGGGCTCCACATTGACAGAGAATCCCTGACATGCTTGGGATTCTCTCTCTCTGCCCCTCTCATGCTCACTCTCTCTCTTATTCTCAAAATAAGTAAAATAAACTTAAAAAAATAAAAAGCCAAGTTAAAATCAGTATTAGTAGCTAATGAGATCTCACTTTAAAATCAATAATAGGGGCACCTGGGTGGCTCAGTCGGTTAAGTGTCCAACTCTTGATTTCAGCTCAGGTTGTGATTGGTGGGTTTGAGCCCCACCAAGGGCTCTACACTGTAAGTAAAGAGCCTGCTTGGGATTTTTTCCCTCTCTCTCTGCCATTCCCCTGCTCGTGCTCTCTGTCTCAAAATAAATAAACTTAAATGGTTTAAAAAATAATAAAAACAAAATCAATAATAAATATTAAGCACCTATTTGCATTATACATGATACTATGGTAGGTTGAATAATGGAAGTTGTATTGGTAACATTATAAAGTGAATTAAAGACAAATTTCATATTGATGTTAAAAAATGAGATATTATTAACACTTTAGTATCTGTGATGGAGTTAAGCACTGTGCTCAAAATAATGTTGATGGCGACAACACTTAGAGGAACGATGGAAATATTTGGAAATCAGATCCAAATCTAAAGGCTAACCGTTTGGCAGAAAAACAGGTTCCCTCTGTTTTCTTATTCCTCATAGGTAAACAAATACAAGAATTCCCATTAAAAATATTTCAGTCATGCAACAATGAAATGTCACATACCCTTATAAATGTAATTTCTTTATAGGGCTTTGCTTATTTAAATTGCTTTGAGCAACACTAGAACTTTATATGGACGTAAGATTTTAAGTCTTTCCCATGATGACTATGTTTTAATTTTCCATACATTTCATCTGTACCTGAGTTCTATAAAAATTCCTCTTGGAATTTTTGAAGAGAGTTCCCAGAACTGTATTCCGGTACCTAACCCATTGTTTCTGTTTATATTCCCCGAGTAGGTGGCAATTATATATTATGTGGCACTTATATATTATTATCTTATAATTATATTATTATATTATATATTATGTGGCAATTATGTATTAGTGGCAATTATATCTTCTTCTTCGTTTCTTTTTTTTTTTAGGTTTATTTATTTATCTTGACAGAGATAGAGAACCACTGGGGGAAAGGCAGAGAGAGAGGGGTATAGAGGATCTAAAGCAGTCTCTGTGCTGACAGCATAGAGCCCAGTGTGGGGCTTGAACTCATGAACCGTGAGATCATGACCTGAGCCAAAGTCAGATGCTTAAGCAGCAGAGCCACCGGGTGCCCCGTATATTTTTCTTTATCAAATTCTTGCCCTTGATGTAGTAAACATAACTATTCTTGCACGGCTAGGCCTAAAAACAAATCTTCTTCTAAATTTTCACCCTTGCCTGTTTATAGAGCATTGTTTTCTCCCACCCTTTCTAATCCCCGCAGTTTGCCCTCTCCTATTGAAGCACACCTCCCAGCCTGACAACCTCACTCCTCTACCAACCCACTCCTATAAAACCTTGCACACTTCAGAATTCTATTTCCTAACACCATTTCTCCCTTCTGGTTTACACGGCATAATCACAGAATATTCCCACAATAAAGCCTGTTAGCCTACCAAGGGCACCCTCATCTTTTCGCCCCCAACTTTTTCATTTTGAAAAATCTCAACTTCCAGAAAAAAGGCTTGAACTATTTGAATAATGTATTATTTTAATGTCCTATTAAAACAGTGACTATGTTAATAATATTTTAATAAACATGACTTAGACAAAAAAAAGTGACTTTTTTGAGTGCTTAGAGGCAACACTGCATGGAGAGCACTACATGCATTATTTTATTTAAGCAAAAATCCCTCTGAAATTGGATCCATTAACAGTTCCATTTTTACAGATGAAGATAACTGACTCCTAGAGAATTTACAAAAGGTACCCAAGATCATACCTCTAGTAAAACCTTCATGACTACTTCCAGAGCCCTGGTCTTTTTTTTTTTTTTTTCTTTTCTTTTCTTTTCATTTCATGGAGAGAGAGAGAGAACATGAGGGGCAGAAAGATAGAGAGAAAGAGAGAGAGAGAGAAAGAGAGAGAGAGAATCTTAAGCAGGCCCCATGCTCAGTGTGGAGCCCGACAATGGGGCTTAATCCCACGAACGGGATCATGACCTGAGCTGAAATCAAGAGTCTGTTGTTCAACTGACTGATCCACCCAGATGTCCCCAGAGCCCTGGTTTTAACCAGTATACTATACTTATTAAAGTATACCTCCTGACATAATAACTAAATGCACTGTGTGAATCTTGAGTGGATTTTGGATGGTGAAAAGAAACTAAAAAAGACATTTTGGAAATTTTTGCCATGGATTAGTTATTAGCAAATATAGAACTACTATTGGTTTTCTTAGTTGTGGTAATGATACTGTGGTTAGATAGAAAAACATCCTTATTTTCAGCGAATGAGTATTTGGAATAAAGTTTCATAATGTCCTCAACTTACTTTCAAAACATTTGGTTAAAAAAATGTTGTGTGAACAGTTGCATGCGTGCACACACATGCACACACAGCAACTGTGGCATAATATGAACAACTGATGTATCGATGTGAGAGGCACATTGATGTTTGTTATACTAGTCTTTCAACATTTCCCTAGGTTTGAAAATTTTCAAGGTAAAATGTTAAAAGAAAATGAATGCCTTGAAAAGGCTCTCAAGAAATAACTTGTAGAATCTCAGGAAATAAATTTCCTGAGATTTTAAAGATCAGGTAGAGTCTTATGTCATGTTTTCCTTGGCTGATGTTTGAATAATTTTATTTCACCAATTGCATAAACAGGATTACATTATACACGGTATAAAAATATACGTTAAAAAGTATGAGGGGTACCAGGTTGGCTCAGTTGGTTGAACATCTGACCCTTGATTTGGGCTCAGGTCCTCATTATCCCAGGGTCATGGGATCCAGCCAGTGTTGGGATCCACTCCTCACCGAGCATGGGGCCTGCTTAAGATTCTCTCTCTCTCTGCTCCTCTTCCCTGCTTGCACTGCGCTCTCTCTTTCTAAAAATAAAAAATTTAAATTAATTAAAAGTATGAAAGTGTATATATCCTACCTAGTAGGGTTAAATCAGGGAGCTGATATTAACAGAAAATTTTTCTTTCTTTACATTTTTACAAAGATCATGTATTTTCAGAAAATTTCATTAAAGTTTTGTTTTTTATTCCATGAAAAAGAAACAAAAGCCCTAAAAATTCTAAATCTTCATTTCCCATAAGCGAAATATGTAACTATGTCATGTCAAATAGAATCTCTATTCTGTTCCTATCACTCTGCTGGTGGAGTTTCGGGAAAAAATGGGAGCGATAGGATTCTACAGCTGTTTCCACTTAACGCATAGAGCTGTGCCTGCAAGCAAAATCTAAGCAAGACTGAAAAAAGTTAATGTTTTGAAAAGAAGTAATAGTTAAATAGTTTATATAATTAAATTTTTGGATTTGGAACACGATCTTTAATGCCCATGTCTCCGGCCAAGAGCCGACCTCCGCTGAGATTGCTGGAATCCCCCGGGAACGAGAGTCCAACCAAAACAGCCAGCAGGGCGGGTTTCAGGACGGGCCACGCCCCTCCGCCTTGGCCAATCGGGAGAGAGAAGGCGGGGCCAGGGAGCCGCCGGAGGCGGAGCGGGAGCAGAAGGGGTGTGTCTGAAGCAGGGGCGGCTAAGTCCTAGAAGGTGGCAATTTTCCGGGGCCGGCGGCGCGGGGCGCAGGTGGAGAGGCCAGGCTGGCGGGGGCTTCGGCCTCGGGCTTCGGGAAATGGCGGCGGGGGGCAGAATGGAAGACGTGAGTGCACGGAAGTGGCGGGAGGCTGGCCCCGGAACCCCTTTCTTCCCTTGCTGGGCGCGCTGGGCGGAGACTGCGGAGGGAAGCCACCCTTACCCGGTGGGACCGCGGCCGGGGGAGGCCCTTCCTGCGCGGGGCTGGCGTCGGACGCGGGGTTCTGGGACAGGACGCCCAGGAGGCAGTGGGGTCCGCGACGCGCCGGCTCTGGGCTTCCTTTCCCGAGTGGAGGCCGGGTGGGCTGCTAGGGGGTGGAGGCACCAATGCCGGGGTCCCGGGCGGGCGCCCAGCCCACGTGCGGCGCGCGTCTTTGATCCCGGAACTGGGAGCCTCACGTGATGCGCGTCTGGCCTGACCGCCCCCATTCGGGGCGCTGCTCTGAGGGGGGCCTCTTGGCTCGGCTCAGACGACTTGGGGCGCAGGGACGAATCTCCCTGGTCGTGGGTTCCGCGCCTTGGCTTCAGACGGCCGTGAACCTTGAGCGGCTGCGAACTGCAGGCCGGCTGCAGGCGTCCCACGGGTCGATCTGTCTGTCACTGGCATCGTACAGCAACCCGCATTGGAGAAAAACAGTGTCGTGATGTTTTCAATGTAAGCGTGATGGGAAAGGATTTTTAAATCTCCTTACTTAACGGATACAAACCAGATTACTAAAAAACAGTGGCCTAGTTTACAGCCTGTGTAGTATGGAGTAAAATCTTTGCTTAAGTATATTAAAACATTTTTTAGGGGATACATGTAATTGTGCCCAGAATAACTGGCTGCCCCATTGTCAGGTAATAACATTTTTACCCTCGAGAAATGCAAAGTTGACAAATATGTTAAAGCACTAATTTGGATTAATACATTAATAGAAATTATTACTGTGATGCTGTCACTGAATTAAGGGCATCAGGGAAGACACATAACAGTTCTAGCCCTATAGGAGCTTAGATTCTAGTGTAAAAATCAAGAACATGGGGCCCCTGGGTGGCTCAGTCAGTTAAGCCTCTGACTTAGGCTCAGGTCATGATCTCAAGGTTGATGAGTTCAAGCCCCACGTAGGGCTCTGTGCCTACAGCTCAGAGCCTAGATCCTGCTTCAGATTCTGTCTCTCTCTCGCTCTCAAAATTAAATAAAAACATTAAAAAATTTTTTTTAAAAAGCAGCAACAGTTTAGGTATCTTAACTAAAAACCAATTTCTAATGATAAGACTAAAACTTTATTTTTTTTCAGTTGAGAAAATGGAAAACTAACTGAAAGACATGGAAGTAGATTTGACATTCATATGCATTTAAAGAAAAGAAAAAAAATTGTTTCTGAATTTTAAAGGTGAGATTCATGACCTGACAATGTATGAAAACAAAATCTGAGGAAAATGAGAGACTGTTAGAAGAATGCATGCAGTAAATGCTTCTTGGCTGATTTTAAGTAGCCCCAGGTTCTTGAATCTGTACCTTTTTGCTTTGGGATGAATAAAATCCTAGAAATCTGTTTCACCAAACAATTGGAAAGCGATGTTTCAGCAACAGTTACATAGCTAAATCCCTTTAGATCTGCGCAAGTTGCCTGTTTTTGGTATTTTGTGGATATGATTTCTACCATTCAGGTAAAAGCTGAAAATATGGTGTATGCAGTAGGACTAGACACAAATGAGTTAGCAGAGGACAGAGGCTTTTTAGTTGGGGTTCATTGTTTGCAAGCTGTGAAACCAACTCTGGCTAATTTAAGGAAGAAAGAAATTTACTTGAAATGATGCAGGGTGGATGAACCCTTAGGCCTTCAAAAGGACTTTAAACAAGGGCAGCTCAAGGGATCTTCAAGGGATCTAAGTGACGGGGATCCTTTCAAGGTCAGCCCTGGACTGAGTCTGCCCTTCCCTGGTCTCTGTGTGCTTTGTTGCTCACAGAAAGAATTGGATTGCCCAGCCTCTTAGGTTCCACCAGAGGCCAGAGGCGGGTGAAATGTATTGAAGGATGTTCCCAGCGCGTCCCCAAAGGAAATTGAGTTATGGTCACAAAAGAGAAAGAGATCTGTGTGGACAAAAACAACAGATATCTTGTATGGGTGATAATGTAGCTATTAATAGTGTAAGTAAAGAAATTATTTGGGTTCAGGAGTTGTCTTCCCTTTACCTTTCACATGCAGATGTGGGGAGCTGCCGTCTCAGGCTGATAAGGTATTGTGTGTTGATACTACATTTCTTATAGAATTCACTGGACAGTTTATTTGATATAGCCACCAAATACATTGTATTTACTGAACATCTATTAAGTAACATAGAGAAGAAACCATATTCTGGTGTCCAACCCCTTCAATGTAGTCAGGAGAAACAAAAGGTATACACAAAAAAAGGAAGTAATATAAGACAGCGTAAGAAATATTTCAAATTAATATTATGAGCAGTACATTTTATAGCAATTTTTTTTTAATTTTTTTTTTTAAATATTTTTATTTATTTCTAGGAGAGAGAGAGACAGCATGAGCAGGGGATGGTCAGAGAGAGAGGGAGACATAGACTCCGAAATAGGCTCCAGGCTCTGAGCTGGCAGTCAGCACAGAGCCTGACGCGGGGCTTGGACCCACGAACTGCGAGATCATGACCTAAGCGAAAGTCGGACGCTTAACTGACTAAGCCACCCAGGCGCCCCTTTATAGCAATTTTTAAAATATTTTTATTTATTTTTGATAGAGAAGCAGAGTGGGAGAGGGGCAGAGAGAGAGAGGGAGACACAGAATCTGATGCAGGCTCCAGGCTCTGAGCTGCCAGCACAGAGCCCAATGCAGGGCTTGAACTCACAAGCTCTGAGATCATGACCTGAGCTAAAGTCAGATACTCAACTGACTGAGCCACCCAGACCCCCCAGCAGTTTTAAAGTAGAAAGAAAACACTTGGCAGGGCAAGTTTTATGGAGAACTTAAGTCTTGGTTGCACCTTACAAGATGAGTTGGATTCTGAAAAAAATAAGAGAGGATGTTTCTGGGACACTCCAGAAAGGTCATTTAGGGTAGAGGAGATGGTGCATGGAACAAAGGGAGGTAAACAGGAGATAAATAGACTCCTGTCTTACAGTTAAGTTTTCAAGGCTAGCTTTGTTCAAATTCCCATGTCCCAAATGTTCAAGAAGTTGGGCAATCTTTCATTCACTTCACACACATACTGAGCACCTAGTCTGTGTTAAGTGCTAAGTATAAAGAATATATAATACAGAGTCTCTGTCCTAATGAAGCAAACTCTTCCCACAGCTTTGATACCTTGTGGTTAGTATTCTAAGTTAGCAGTAGGAAATTCTATTCCTAGCCAGCGTGGAGTCACGGGGCCTGGATTTATCCTTCTGCCTCAAACAACCAAAAAACTATATACAATATAGGAAACAACACTTTTTAAGATATTGAACATCAGGCAGTGAAGGACAGTGTTTTCCAAGAGACCGAAACAAAGTGAGTCAGGACGCCTGGGTGGCTCAGTTGGTTAAGCATCTGACTCTTGATTTCAGCTCAGGTCATGATCTCCCGGTTTGTGAGTTCGAACTCCGCATCAGGCTCTGTGCTGACAGTGCGGAGCCTGCTTGAGATTCTCTCTCCCTCTCTCTCTCTCAAAATAAATAAATAAGCTCTAAAAAATAAAAGTAAACAAAAAAACCCAAAGTGAGTCATGTGATTGCCCCAGCTGACCACGCTAAGAGTCTGCAGGCTGTGATAGGAAAGGGCACCCTGGCAGAGGTCAGCAGGCTCCCTGAGTTGGGGAGATGGAGCTGAGAGTCTGGGGAGATGAAGGCAACTAGAGTTCACACGGCAGTACCAGGAGATGAGAGAGCTGCCCAGAGGGAGAACTGAAGATGTGCAGAGTGTCTTCAAGTAGTCCGCAGGCTCTTGCTCAGTACTTGCTATGAGGACATTCCCACAGCCTGGAAAAGAACCACCCGAAATGATTAGAAGAAACAGTACTTAGTGCCCACACAGGACCCAGAATAGTGCCTATTCTGCAAGTCAGACTGGAAACCCCATAATTCACAGGGTATTAGGTGCTCAGAAAGGTCTTGCTTTCATGATGGGGAAAAACTAGCCTTAGACTAAACACAGCGCCCTAATACTAAGTCTTAAAAGCAAGACTCAAAAGATCAAACTGTTTCCAAGTAGCTTAACCACATTCCAGACCAAAGCTCAAGAATATTTATAGGAATACTAAACTGTCCTGACCCCAAAGAGATAAATTGGGAAGTTTGGCCTCCCATCGAAAATCACTAGGCATTGGTAATTATAGGACATAATGAAGATGTTAACTAATGCTTCAGTGGTAACCATTTTGCAATACATAACTGCATCGTGGGACGCCTGGCTGGCTCAGTCAGTAGAGCATGTGACTCTTGATCTCAGGGTCATGAGTTCAAGCCCCACATTGGGTGTGAAGCCTATGTAATAAAAAAAAAAAAAAGTATATCAAATTAACTCATGGTACACCTTAAACTTGCACAATGCTGTATGCCCATTATATCTCAATAAAGCTGAAAAAAATATTCAAGCATGCAAAAAGGCAGGAAAATATGACATACGTCAGCTGAAACTGATTCAGACATGACATGCTAGAAATAGGAAACAGGCACATTAAAAAATTATTATACCTGTTTTCTCTATGTTCAAAAGGTTAAAAAGACATATGGAAGATATAAGATGGACCCAAGCCAAACCTGGGGATGTGAAAAGTACAATGTCAGACAAAAAGGGCAACAGGAACAGTGTGGAGGTATCAGAGAAGCCAGTGGTTTTGCTAAGACAAGAATTGACACATGGGCAAAAGTAGGTAAAGGCACAGGAACTGAATAGAGTTTTGTGACAGATGGGAGCAAGGAGCAGTCAGCATCAGGAGGGAGAGAGAGAAAGAGAGGCAAGTCCCCAAAAGTAGCTTGGGAATGGATGGTAAGAGAGAGCCAGCCTAAGAATTTGGACTGCGTTCTGAGGATAATCGGGAGGGACCCAAGGTTTTGGAGGGAAGAGACGTGTATGTTATTCTAGAGGACTCCAACTGCAGCAAGAGGGTGCTGAGGTCCAGAGACTGAAAGGCAAAGGCCTTGAGAAACGCTGGGGCCTGCACTTCATAATGAGCCCAGAGAGAAAAGACAGACTTAGGAGTTAGAATCATAAGGAATACTCTGTGGGGAGCAAGAAAAGCGAGTTGGAGACAATAGCGGCTACTAGTTATTCACTGTTTAGTCTGTGCCAGGCAACATTCTGGCACTTTTATGGATAGGAACTCATTTCATCTTCCCAAGAAAGCTGTGAAGCGGGTGCCGTTATGATTCTCTTTTTTGACATGGGGAAGCTGAAGCATAGGAAGCTGGAGTAACATGTCACAGCTAGGAAGCAGTAGAACTTGTATCTGAAGCCAGGCAGTTTGCCTTAGGAGCTTGCCTTTAACCACTGTACATTCTCCCTCTGCATCTGATCAGAGCCGATGCTCCCACAGCTCCTGGGGATCCCTCCTGATGAGCCCAGGTCTTTGATGATACCATCATTGAGTTAGGAACACTGTGAAGATAGGTTTGGATCAGTCATTCATTCATCGGGTGTTCCCTGGATGCTCACCCTAAGTCACTGTTGGGTGCCTGGATTACAGAGACGAGGGATGGGGAGATCGTATGTCTCTTGAAATGTACTGCAGACAGGTAAGAAATAAGAGACAGAATAATATGACAGAGGAGGTGAGCACAAAACATGTGGGGAGACATGAAGGTGTGGCTTGATCCAGGAGCTTGGATGCCCGGGAAGGCTACCTGTGAGAATTGCCCCAGCGGGGTCTAGACAGATGGACAGACGTTATTAGCTCGTGGAGGTAGGGCAGCTGCTGACTGAGAAAGAGCTGGAGGCAAAGGAGTCTCGAAAAGAACAGAAATAATCAGAATCCTACCATAAGTTACGGCCGACTAAACAGGAAGCTGTCTAGGCACTGAATGAAAAGAAATTGCAGAACAGTACTGAATGCCTGAGTCTGGAAGTTGAGAAGCCCACCCCAGATCTGAGTGAGGCTCCAGATTATTATTTTTATCTTTGTAATCTAGTGCCCAGAAGCCATCCCTTATACCATTTGTCTCACTCTCTCCCTTCCAAAGAGCCCTTATCTTCTGTTTCCAAATGCTATTCTCAGGCTTCCTTTTTTCTGATGGAATCTTTATTTCCATCTTATTTTATATTTAGTCCAATGAGCTCACTTATATTATTATTTCATCCTGTATGCCTTCATCCCTAACCTCCCCAATGAAAATGTAATCTTTTGGACAGGGACTGTATTTCATATGTTTTAATCTTTTTTTTTTTTAATTTTTTATGTTTTATTTATTTCTAGGAGAGAGAGAGACAGCATGAGCAGGGGAGGGTCAGAGAGAGAGGGAGTCACAGACCGAAATAGGCTCCAGTCTCTGAGCTGGCAGTCAGCACAGAGCCCGACGCGGGGCTTGAACCCACGAACCGCGAGATCATGACCTAAGCGAAAGTCGGACGCTTAACCGACTAAGCCACCCAGGCGCCCCTCATATGTTTTAATCTTACAGTGCCTTATATATGTTAGTTTTTGGTAAGGGTCTGAGATGATAAGATTGTTGTCTGCGCGGAGACCTGATAGGACTGTTCCTGTCCAGGCAATACCTTTAAATAAGACAGACTGAATTTTTAGGTTGCAGCTCAATCCCATCAGCTACTTGGTGTCCTTGCAACTAGTTTTCAATGAGAATCTCGTATCTAGAAACTAAAGTCTCCTCAAAGATCTAGCACAGTGATGTCTCCTTCTCCTCAATATTTCAGTCATAGCTCAAAGTTTGATAAAGCCTCCACTAGCTTTCCAAAATTTTGTGGAACACCAAGATGTAGTTTAAGAATTACAACCGGGTCGCCTGGGTGAGTCAGTCGGTTAAGCGTCTGACTTCGGCTCAGGTCATGAGCTCACGGTTTGCGGGTTCGAGCCCCGCATTGAGCTCTACACTGTCTGTGTATCTGCTTGTGGTTCTCCCTTTCCCTTGTTCTCTGCCCATCCCCTGCTTGTTCTCTCTCTCTCTCAACATAAACTTGGTAATGCAAACTGGTGCAGCCACCGTGGAAAACAGTATGAAGTCTCCTAAAAATATTAAAAATAGAGGGGTGCAGTCTGACTTCGGCTCAGGTCATGATCTCACAGTTCGTGGGTTCGAGCCCCGCATTGGGCTCTGTGCTGACAGCTCAGCTCCTGGAGCCTGTTTCGGATTCTGTGTCTCCCTCTCTCTCTGACCCACCCCTGCTCATGCTGTCTGTCTCTCAGAAATAAATAAAACATTAAAAAAAATTTTTTTTAATATTAAAAATAGATTTACCATATGATCCAATAATTCCACTACTGGGTATTTACCCACAGAATACAAAGACACTAATTTGAAAAGATATATGCATTCCTATGTTTATTGCAGCATTATTTACAACATCCAAATTATGGAAGCAGCTCAAATGTCCACTAATAAATGAATGGATAAAGAAGATGTGGTATATATCCACAGTGGAATATTATCCCAGCATAAAAAACTCTGAAACCTTGCCATTTGCAAAAAAATGGATGGATCTAGAGAATATAACGCTAAAATTAAATGTCAGTCAGAGAAAGACAAATACCATATGATTTTATTCATATGTGGAATTTAAGAAACAAAACAAATGAATACATTAAAAAAAGAGAAAGAGTGAGACAAACCAAAAAAAACCAGACTCTTAACTATAGAGAACAAACTGGTTACTGGGTAGGCAGTGGGTGAAACAGGTGAAGAGGGTTAAGAGTACATTTATAGTGATGAGCACTGAGTAATGTATACAATTGTCACAACATTATATTGTACACCTGATACTAATAATGCTGTATGTTAACTGTACAGGAATTAAAATGTAAGGAAAGAAAAAAAATCATAAACTTGAAAACAAACCACAACAACAAACTAAAAAAAAAAGAACTGCAACCATATGTAATTATTTCATCAATAATGTAAATAATGTAAGTTTTGAGGGCTTAAAGAAAAATTGTTTGCTTTATTCTCATCCTGTATTACCTCATTTGAAGATAACTAAAGTTAAGATTTCCTGTACCCGTTTTAATACATGTTTTCACCAATTTGTGTATAGTAGTTGACTAGAAGTTCATGGTCTTTTTCAATTGCCTCTAGGTAGAGAGTCTATTTTTCTTGCCTTTAACTTGTATAATGGTTTTTAAAGCTTTATAGGTTAGTAGATTTGTCTTAGAAACATAATCCAGGAAGTGGTGATTATAGTTTACTTCTGTTTTTCTGTCCCTCAGGGTTCCTTGGATCTCACCCAAAGCATTGAAGATGACCCCCTTCTGGACAACCAGCACCTCGCGCATCATTCATTACATGCTCATTTTAGACCCAGATTCCATCCTCTTCCTACAGTCATCATAGCAAGTCTTCTCTTGTTAATACATGTAAGTTGGCCGGAACAAAGTAATCCATGCAGAGGAGATATTCTTTTTTTTTTTTTAATATTTTTTTAAATGTTTATTCATTTTTTTTGAGAGAGAGAAACAGAACGTGAGAGGGGGAGGGGCAGAGAGAGGGGGGACACAGAATCTGAAGCAGGCTCCAGGCTCTGAGATGTCAGCACAGAGCCTGATGCGGGCTCGAACTCATGAACCATGAGATCATGACCTGGCTGAAGTCAAATGCTTAACCAACTGAGCCACCCAGGTGCCCCGGTGATATTCTTAAATGTATATAGAAGCTCTTTAGTGGGCAGTTTGGCTACATGTACTGACATTTAAAATGAGCCTACTTTTTGACTCATCTCTCTTCTTCAAAGTGTTTATTGTAGATGTATTTGCACATGTGTCAGGATATTGTTGATAATAGTAATGTTGTCTGTGATATCAAGATAGTGCAACTACCACCACTCAGAGGACACTTTGTACGTCCCATCCATATGAAGGAACGTTTTGCGGCCTCTGAAAAAGAAACAGGGTGGATGTGTGTATATTAATTAGACCAGTCTTCACAATTACATTACGTTATTACAAACACAGGTTTACAACAGTGTGCACAGAGTGTTGCTGTTCCCACACTGTGAAAGAGAATTGAGAGGGCTGGTGTGCATGTGTATTCCTGTGTATAAACAGATTATTTCTAGACGCATTCACATGACCCTTTTTTTTTTTTTTTTTTAAATGTTTTATTTATTTCTAGGTGAGAGAGAGAGACAGTGTGAGCAGGGGAGGGTCAGAGAGAGAGGGAGTCACAGACTGAAACAGGCTCCAGGCTCTGAGCTGGCAGTCAGCACAGAGCCTGACGCGGGGCTCTAACCCACAACCCGTGAGATCATAAGCAAAAGTCGGACGCTTAACCGACTAAGCCACCCAGGCGCCCCTCACATGACCCTTTTAACACTGGTGGCCACTAGCGTGGAGGACCGTGGCCTCAGTAGAAGTAAACCTGATATAGTTTACTATCTGCCTTTTGTACTATTTTAATTTTTTCCCCCCACAAGCATGTATTTCTTTTTCAGTTACAAAAGCAAAAAGAAACATAGATAAGTCTCTATATGTTGACAGAATCTTACCAATTTATCTACACTTAGGAAATAACGTTAAGCGGAGAAATCAAGTTGCAGCAAAGCAGTAAGTGCAGTGTTGCTCCATATTTTATATTATAATAAAATTATAAATGTCTGAGGATTTTTAAAAACACAGGTGTTGCTACCGGTAGGTAAATAAGTCCTGGAAGTGTAATGCAGAACACAGTGACTACAGCCAACCATACTGTATATATTATAAACTTTAGAGTTGCAAAAAGATTGCATATCTTAATTATTCCCACCACAAAAAAGAAATGCTAATGATGTGAAGCGATAGAGGCAGAGGCATTAGCTAACACCGAGGAGGTAATCATATTGCAATATATAAATGTATCAAATCAACAAGTTATAGGTGCACCTGGCTGGCTCAGTCAGAGGAGCATGTGACTCTTGATCTTAGGGTCATGGGCTCGAGCCCCACATACAGTCTAAAAATTACCCAAAAATAAAAACTTAAACACACACAAAACCCCAAAATCAAGTTGTACTCCTCAAACTTACACAATCAACATCACATACAAAAAGAAACCCCTAAGTGGACAAACAAACAAGGGAAAAAAACCCACTTGTGTGACTGACAGATCTTGTGGGCTTATCGGTGGCTCCGCATCTACTCTATTAAAAATTTCCATTTCAATTATTGGGATCCAAAGCACTAGGAGGCATAGTTATTCTTTGCTACAATGTGAAAAATCAAGAGGGCAAATTCTTAGCAGCCCCAAGTGTTTATGGGAATGAATGTGGTTTATTGACCTGTTCAGCTGCTGCTCCAGTGACACGCACTCTGTAGACCTGAATTAAGGACCAGTGGGGCACTTGGGTGGCTCAGTCAGTTAAGTGTCCAACTTCAGCTTGGGTCATGATCTTGCAGTTCATGAGTTTGAGTTTGGGCTGTGCCGACAGCTCAGAGCCTGGAGCCTGCTTCGGGCACTGTGTCTCCCTCTCTCTCTGCCCCTCCCTGACTCACACTCTGTCTCTCTCTCTCTCAAAAACAAATGAAAATTTAAAAATTTAAAAAAAAAAAAATTAAAAAAAAAAAGAACCAAATACCCTGAGGAGATAGATGTGTCCTTTTTCCTTGTGTAGATCTAGTACCTGTGACGTGGTTCTGCCATGGCTTCTGATCCCCAGATTATCAACTGAAGCACTTCCTTCCTGGTGCCACCACATGCAGAGGTGGCCTGGTCCCTGCATGATGGCCTGTTTCTCTTCTTCCTTTTTTTTTTTTTTCTTAATAATATATTCCTTGATTCATGTAACATACTCTTTATGTGTATATACCCCCCACATACACACAAATATACACACATATCACTTTAAAAAAACTTTTATATTAAGTTGCCTGCCTATGATGCTGTGGGATCAACTGCCCTAGTTTTAAGACTAAGAAAATACTGTGTTAAAAAACAAGTAAAATACCAGCAGTACCCGATACCAAAACCAGATAAAGACACCACCAAGAAAGAGAAGTACAGGCCAATACCTCTGATGAACATAGATGCAAAAATTCTTAACAAGATACTAGCAAACTGAAGGGTACCTGGGTGGCTCAGTGGGTTTAGTGTCCGACTTGGGCTCAGGTCATGATCTCACAGTTTGTGGATTCGAGCCCCGCGTCAGGCTCTGTGCTGACAGCTAGCTCAGAGTCTGGAGCCTGCTTCGGATTCTTTGTCTCCCTCTCTCTCTGAACCTCCCCTGCTCACGCTGCCTCTCTCTCAGAAATAAATAAAACATTAAAAAAAATTTTTTTAAAGATACTAGCAAACCAAATCCAACAATATATTACAAAAATCATTCACCACAATCAAGTGGTATTTATTCCTGAGTTGCCAGGGTGGTTCAGTATTCCCAAATCAATCAGTGTGATTCATCACATTAATTTTAAAAAAAAAAAACTATATAATCATTTCAATAATAATCAATTCAATAATAATACAGTCATTTCAAAAAAACAGAAAGTTTTTGACAAAGTACAACATCCACTCATCATAAAAAACCCTCAACAAAGTAGGTTTAGAGGGAATATACCCCAACATAATAAATGCCATATGTGAAAAACCCACAGCTGACATCATCCTAAATGGGAAAAAAACTGAGCTTTTCCTCTACATTCACAAGGATGTCTATTCTCACCACGTTTATTCAACATAGTACTGGAAGTCCTAGCCACAGCAGTCAGATAACAAAAAGAAATAAAAGGCATCCAAATCAACCAGGAAGAAGTCACACTCACTGTTTACAGACAACATGACACTATGTATAGAAAACCCAGAAAACCCCAAAGACTCCACCCAGAAACTGCTAGAATCTATACACGAATTCAGTAGTGTCATGGGATGCAAAATCAACATACAAAAATCTGCTGCATTCCTATACACCAATAATGAAGCAGCAGACAAAGACATTAACGAACCAATCCCATTTACAATTGCACCAAAAACCATAAGATACCTAAGAGTAAAGCCAACCAAAGGAAGAGCTGTACTCTGGAAATGATAAAGCACCGAGGAAAGAAATGGAAAGAATTCAACAGGTGTAGGTGAGGCTATGGAGTAAGTCTCATGCACTGCTGGTGGGAATGCACACTGGTGCAGCCACTCTGGAAAACAGTATAGAGGTTCCTCAAAAATTTAAAATAGAACTACCCTATAGTCCAGCAATTGCACTGCTGGGTATTTACCCAAAGAATACAAAAATAGTAATTCAAAGTGATACATGCACCCTGATGTTTATAGCAGTATTATTTACAATAGGCAAATTGTGGAAACAGCCCAAGTATCCATCAGTTGATGAATGGATAAAGAAGAGGTGGTATACACACACACAATGGAATATTATTACTCAGCCATAAAAAAGAATGTAATCAAAAGAAAAAACTAAAAAAGAATGAAGTCTGGTCATTTGCAATGGCATGGATGCAACTAGAAAGTATTATTTTAAGTGACATAGAGAAGGACAAATATCCTGTGATTTCACTCATGTGGAATTTAAGAAACAAATGAGCAAAGGGGAAAAAAAAGAGAGACCGGCAAACCAAGAGACTCTTAATTATAGAGGACAAACTGATGGTTACCAGAGGGACGGTTGCTAGGGGAATGGGTGAAATAGGTGATGGGGATTAAGGAGTGTGCTTGTGATGAGCACCAGGTGATATATGGAAATGTTGAATCACTATATTGTATACCTAAAACTATTAGTTATTATTATTAGTTAATTTTATTAATATTACACTGTATGTTAACTAACGAATTTAAAATAAAAACTTTAAAAAAAACAAGAAAAATGTCTATATGTTACTTTATGGATCAACTTGGTCCCAATATACAGTGTTTTACAGTTTAGGGAATATGGTGACCTTTCAACTATTTGCTTTATGATAATAGGCATCTTGAGTTGCCATAGCAAATATTACTGTTCTTGACAAATCACTTTGACAGATCACATATATTATATTTTTTAAGGATTTTTTTTTAGTTTTTTTTAATGTTTTTATTTATTTCTGAGAGAGAGAGGGAGACACAGAATCTGAAACAGCCTCCAGGCGCTGAACTAGCTGTCAGCACAGAGCCCAACACGGGGCTAAAACCCATGAACTGCGAGATCATAACCTGAGCCGAAGTCGGACGCTTAACCGAATGAGCCACCCCGGCGCTCCTTTAAGGATTCTTTTTATATTAATTTATTTACTTTGAGAGAGAGCATGAGCAGGAGAAGGGCAAAGAGAGAGGGAGAGTCCCAAGCAGTGTCCTCACCATCAGCATGGAGAGTTGAATGCTTAACCGACTGAGCCACCTAGAAATAAAGTTTTTTAAATTATGCTTTTTATTAGTTATGTTTGAGGCACTGAATAATGTTTTTTTACTCTTTTCAATAAAAGAGAAGTGGGCAGGAAACTATTTAACATTAAGTACTCATCTCTGTTAGATGGATTTGGGGTGATTTTTTTGTATTTGTGATTTGTTTCCAAACTTCCGTAAATTTTTCTCCAAATTTTCTGTTCAAAATATTTGTAAAAAGGCAAAAAAAAAAATGTTTTTGAATTCATTTATAAAAACAGGATAGCAATAGGTATGAGTAGGTGGTGGGAGGGTGATTATTATTGCTTAATTCCAGATAGTGAATATTAATCCTAATGTGCTCCTTTCCACCAGGTTGTCTTTGTCGTTTTGGCATTTTTAACAGGTATACTTTGTTCTTACCCTAATCCGATTGAGGACAAGTGCCCAGGAAACTATACGAACCCATTGAAAGTTCAGACAGTCATAATCCTTGGAAAAGTCATTTTGTGGATTCTGTACTTCCTTCTTGAACGCTACATCCAGTATCACCACAACAAAGTAAGGAACCGAGGCTATAACATGATCTACCTATCAACAAGGCAGCTTAAAGGACTTGCTCTGATGATACACTCCACTGGTAAGTGTGGCGCAGCCTGCCCGTGGCTCACTTCAGCAGCAGGAATGTTAGCAGAAAGAAAATGTGAAGTTTGACTTTATAATCAAATATATTCTCTCATTTTTGTGAGAATGATGTGTGTGGTAGCCACTAAAATTGGGATCACCTTAATGTCTTGAAGCTTTTTAAATAATACATTATAGCTTTAATTTTCCTTTGACATCTGTGTTTGTTATTGTAGAGGAGAGGAAAAAAATGTTTCCTTCTACCCTTCTAGGTAGATTTTTTTTTTTTCTGAGCCAGCCAGATGCCCCTGAAATTTTAATTTAATTTTAACTCCCATACAGTTAATGTACAATGTTACAGTAGTTTCAGGTGTACAATACAGTGATTCAACACTTCCACACATCCCTGATGCTCATCATGACAAGTGCGCCCCCTAACCCTCATCACCTATTTCCCCCACCCCGCTACCTCTATTCCCTACTGTAACCATCTGTGTGTTCTGTATAGTGAAGAGTCTGTTTCTAGGTTTGCCTCTCACAAAAGACCTTCTTTTTCGAGACCAGAATAAATGCATAGACATTTTGAAACCAGATTTGAAATTAATTTTTTCCCTAGAAAAACAGCTTTACAGAATTTAATTTTTTCCATGCTCTATTAGTATATTTTCTTTTTATTTATTTACTATTTTTTTAATTTAAATCCAAGTTAGTTAACATATAGTGTAATAATGATTTCAGGAATAGAATTTATGATTCATCACTTACATATAACACCCAGTGCTCTTCCCAATAAGTGTCCTCCTTAAGCCCTATCGCCCATTTAGCCCATCCCCCCCACCCAACACTCCACCAACAACTCTGTTTGTTCTCTGTATTTACGAGTCTCTTATGTTTTGTCTCCCTCTCTGTTTTTATATTATTTTTGCTTCTTTTGCTTCCCCTCCTCTGTGTTCATCTGTTTTGTTTCTTAAAATCCACGTATGAATGAATTTATATGATATTTGTCTTTCACCTAGCATAATACACTCCAGTTCCATGTTGTTGTAAACGGCAAGATTTCATTCTTTTTGATTGCTGAGTAATACTGCATTGTATTTATATACATCACATCTTCTTTATCCATTGATTAGTCGATGGACATTTGGGCTCTTCCCATACTTTGGCTATTGTTAATAGCGCTGCTATAAACATTGGGGTGCATGTGCCCCTTCAAAACATCATTCCTGTATCCTTTGGATAAATTCCTAGTAGTGCAATTGCTGAGTCATAGGGTGGTTCTGTTTTTAATTTTTTGAAGAATCTCCACCCTGTATTCCAGAGTGGCTGCACCAGTTTGCATTCCCACCAGTGATATAAAAGAGTTCCTCTTCTATTTTTATCCTGTGTTTTTTAATGTTTATTTATTTTTGAGAGAAGGAGAGAGAGAGACAGAGTGCAGGCAGGGGAAGGACAGAGAGCAGGGAGACAGAATCTGAAGCAGGCTCCAGGTTCTGAGCCGTCAGCACAGAGCCTGCCATGGGGCTTGAACCCATGAACCACAAGATCATGACCTGAGCAGAAGTCAGATGCTTAACTAACTGAGCCACCCACGTGTCCCTATCATATGCTTTTTCTGTATCTATTGAGAGGATCATGTCGTTCTTATCCTTTCTTTTATTAATGTGCTGTAGCACATTGATTGATTTGCAGATATTGAACCAGCCTTGCATCCCAGGAATAAATCCCACTTGATCGTGGTGAATAAGTCTTTTAATGTATTGTTGCATCTGGTTTACTAGTCTCTTGTTGAGAATTTTTGCATCCATGTTCATCAGGAAAATTGGTCTGTGGTTCTCCGTTTTAGTGGGGTCTTTGTCTGGTTTTGGAATGATAGAACGAGTTTGGAAGTTTTCCCCACACCTCTTTTTGGAACAGCTTCAAAAGGATAGGTGTTAACTCTTTAAATGTTTGTTAGAACTCTCCTGGAAAGCCATTCAGCTTTGGACTCTTGTTTGTTGGGAGATTGTCAGTAGATTTTCTTGAGGTGCAAGCTGCAAGTTCATCCACTCAGTGATGTTGTCCATAGAAACTGCAGGGCCATGCTATAACAGAGAAAGAAGCATATTATAGAGATGGCAATTTTGACTCCTCATGAAAGGGGCAACATTTTTACTGCTCCCTGAGGAAGAGCTTTGCTTAAACTGCTGATATGTAGTACTTGTTTGGGGCCAGAAGATGTCACTGTGACCTCTCCTGCCACCCACAAAGATAAAAGCAAAAACCCATTTTTAACTTATATGCATTATGACAAAAGTAATGTTCAGTTTGTCAAACAACCAGTCTGTAAAGAGTATTTTTGAAGCCCACCGAAGTATAGTCTGATCTTTACCTTCCCTCTCACTTTCAAATTCTTGCTAATATATGACTCCTAATCTGTTTCTAAGCAATTGGACCCTTACTTTAATCACAAATGGCATCACTTTTGTGTTGCTCATATAAGGAAGGACCCAGAAAATCAAAGAGATTGGGGCAGGTATTCACCTTGTTTCTATTTTCTTTAAGTATTTTTTGCCTTATATGAAGAATAAAAAGGTAAATCTAGAAGGATATAGAGCGTCCAGCTAATCAGATGAGTGTAACTATTGGTTTTATTGCTGATAATACTGTCAAGATAGTGTTTAGTTTCATCCTGATACTTTTTCTCCATAAAATTGGGAAAATAATATTTATCACACAAACTCTGTTGTAGGAGGAAGTGAACTAACAGTGCCTAGTAGGTATTCAAGAAAGGGTAGGTATCATCAGCATTATCATCATAATTCTGGTTTCATGTAATCTTCCATTGCCATCCAGCCCTTCCGCCAAGCAGGTCCCCGTGGCGGACTCCGTCATAGCCTATGCTATGGCAAGACCTGGGCTCTTTGCTCCAGAATTTTATTGTTCTCCTGTGTTGTATTTTTTCAAAATAAAAGTACAGAATAAGGTTAATGGTCCTCAAAACCAAATCATAGGTATGCTAAACCGGGGGAGAGTGGGGGAATGGCCCATATTTATCAAATACTTGCCATTGTAAGTATTTTTTACATATTAACTCATTTATGGCTCACAACAGCACTGTGAGGAAGGTCCTGGCATCCCCATTTTTCATACGAGGAAGGTGAGGAGCACAGGCGTCAGGTCATTTGTCCACGGTTAGCAGCATGTCCTGGACGTCCATCCAGATGGTATGGATAACTGCAATATTCTTAGCCTCTGGGCAGTTCTGTGTTGTTGCATTATGTCACCAGAATGGGTGACCGGGGTTCTCAAATGCCTCTGGTTTCTGAAGAACTGGGATAATGCAAAGTTCTACAAACTGCATCCCTTTTTATATTTTTTATTTTTTTATTTTTTTACAAGTAGTTTATTGTCAAATTAGTTTCCAGAAACTGCATCCCTTTTTAAATGCACACGAGACTCAGGGGCACCTGGGTGGCTCAGTCAGTTAAGCGTCCGACTTCAGCTCAGGTCATGATCTCGAGGTTTGTGAGTTCGAGCCCTGAGCCCCGTGCTGGGCTCTGTGCTGACAGCTCAGAGCCTGGAGCCTGCTTCACATTCTGTGTCTCCCTCTCTGTCTGCTCTTCTGCTCACGTTCAAAAATAAATAAATGTTAAAGAAGAATTTAATAAATAAAATAAAATAAATACATGTACACGAGACTCAACGCAATGCCATGGAGAATAATTTCATAAAGCAAAAATTCATTTCTTAGCTTTTAGGATTATGGGACATCATTAACTCTTAGGCATGTCGGGGTTTTTCCTGAAGAGAGCAGCGACTTGGGGCTTTTATCCTTTCGCTCCTCCGTTCACTGGTCAGTGTAAGTGGGCCCGGGTGCAAGCCTGTCCTGGGGACCGGCACTGTGCCCTGCTCACTGCCTGCTTCTTTCCCCCCTCAGGCAGCACTGCGATTCTCCTCGTGCTATGCGTGCAGCACTCCTTCCCGGAGCCTAGCAGGCTGTATCTGGACCTCATCCTGGCCATCCTAGCCCTAGAACTCGTCTGCTCCCTGACGTGTCTGCTCACTTACACAGGTGAGGATTGGCAGCTGCACAGCTGGCACAGACACCTTTAGCTGCTCGTTCCATCCCTGATAATGGAAAGTGTGGCCATTATCTTTGTGGCTAGGTGTTTCTAGTAGCCAAGAACCTATTTAGCACCTCTGCCTCTCATTGCTGACCTCATCCAAACCTCCTCAGTTTCAAACTAACAAGAAGATACCGGTGAGTCATGTTGCTATATTTGTTTCATGCACAAATTTTGGTCAACTCAAGTAACGCCTGATCATTAAAAAATACAAAAACAAAAGAATGTTTAAAACCCACAAACATTTGCTTCCTCAAAAGCAACTGAAATGTAATTTTGGCATTTATATTTAAAATAATGAAATACAGGGGCTCCTGGGTGGCTCAGTCGGTTAATCATCTGGCCCTTGACTTCAGCTAATGGTTCGTGGGTTTGAGCCCCACACTGGGCTCTGTGCTAGCAGTGCAGAGCCTGCTTGAGATTCTTTCTCCCACTCTCTTTGACCCTCTGCCGTTTGTGTGCTCTCTCTCTCTCTCAAAGTAAATAAATAAACTTAAAAAAAAAAAAGAAAGAAAAGAAATACAGGGGCACATGGGTGGCTCAGTTGATTAAGCATCCAGCTCTTGATCTCAGCTTAAGTCTTGATCTCAGGGTGGTGAATTCAAGCCCTATGTTGGGCTCCTTGCTGGGCGTGGAGCCTACTAAACATAATAATAATAAAAAAATAAAGTAACGAAATACAAAATAAGTAAATAAACAATGCATACAAAACTGCTTTTAGCCTAAACTTCTTTAGGATAAACCATTTATGAAACCATTTTCTAAATTTAGAGTTGTCTGAGGGTTGGTCTCTTTGTCTGTCTTTGTCTCTTTGACTCTCTCAGAACTCTCAGTGGTAAAATTAAAGTAAGCTTTAGATACATTAACATGAAAAATGGAAGAATACTTCCATAACAGAAAAAAAAAGAATTCAAGCCCTGGAAAAATCTAGATTTCATTCCTCCTGCAATATTGGCCTACAGTAAGATCTGTCCATAACAGTAGCCAATTTTCTGTTATTTTACTCAAGTTATTTTGTGACAATAAAATATCTTGTCTATCCATTTTGAAAGATATCATTTCTCTAGTTATGAAGAACAAAATCACATGGGTCTCCATTTATGTTTCATTTTACTGATTTTTTTCATCTCCTTAGGCCTATGGAAGAGTACTTAGAATATGAATGGAGTGACTAGTTTATAAATGTGAAGGATGTCACATTTAAAAAAAATTTTTTTAATGTTTATTCATTTTTTAGAGACACAGTATGAGTGGGGGAAGGGTAGAGAAAGATACACACATACAATCCGAAGCAATACCCAAGGCTCTGAGCTGTCAGCACAGAGCCCATTGCAGGGCTCAAACCCATAAACTGAGAGACCGTGACCTGAGCCAAAGTCAGACACTTAACCAACTGAGCCACCCAGGTGCCCCAGGATGTCACATTACTGATTGACCTTTATAAATTTTTCTGTAGTTATCTGCTAACAGTAGATTAGCCAAATTACGTAGAGAATTGCATTCATCCCTCATTCTAAAAAAATAAATGTGTATCACACCCACTTAACCTCCCAGAAAAGGAGACTTTATTTTTATTTATTTAAAAAAATTTTTTTTAATGCTTTATTTATTTCTGAGAGAGAGAGAGACAGCATGAGCAGGGGAGGGTGAGAGAGAGAGTGAGACACAGAATCAGAAGACAGGCTTCAGGCTCTGAGCCGGCTGTCAGCACAGAGCCCAACGTGGGGCTCGAACCCACGAACCGCGAGATCATGACCTGAGCTGAAGTCAGACGCTTAACCAACTGAGCCACCCAGGCGCCCCAAGGCTTTATTTTTAAAGTCAGGTTAATTTTTCAATATATAAGAAACAGCTTGCTGTGTCAGTAAAGTTATCCATGGGACAAATGAGTATTGAACTACCTTGTTGAGTAAGATCAGGTCCATTCTACAACACATCTGTGAAATGCTGTAAAGGAGGTAATAGTTTAGATCTGAATACAGAATTCGATTGGCATGTTACATTCTAGCACCTCTGCAACTTTTATTTACTGCAAGGGTGCAAGATTTCTTGTAGTAAAGTGTTTTCTGTAATACCTGTAGAATGGTCTGTGACATAAAAGCAGTAACAGTAACTCCTGAGATCATGTGAATGTCATCATGTAAATAAGGGGAAATTAATACTGTTAGAATGTGGTCCAAGGTCTATTTCCCTAGGATTTACTGTACCATTTTTAAAGGATTTGCTGTAGCATTGTTAATTAATTATAAGTAAAACAGGTAATGTTAAAAACAAAAAGACAAAACCCTGAGGGTGTTTAAGAGGTAAAGGAAATAGATATACCAAGAATCCCGACAGGAACTCATTTTCACAGTTGGACACAAATATATCAGTTACATGGAACCTAAACTTAAATGAAAATAATGTTATTTTATTCCTTTCCATTTATTTTAATTTATTGCCTTCCTAATTAAAAAAAATTGCTTTATTCTATACTCTAAGTCTTAGTGGCATATTTCATCTTCATTTACATTAACTTTAAAATTTTTATCTGAATGAAAACACCATTAAAAATTATTTAAATCTCAATATACTTCCTACTGTTAGAAAACCTGGTAATTGGTAATTCAGACTTGCAAAGTAAATAGATGATTTACACAGGGAAATATTTGTAATGATAACAATGATAAACTTTGGGTTTCTGCAAATATTGAACTTCTTGAAAAGATTCAAGTATGACTGTTTTACCTCCACATCATCAATAATAGGCTTAACTTTTTAAAATTATAATATTCCCTTAAATGTACCTTAAATAAACCTACCATGATAGGAGAGATTTAGGGAGTAGCTTCTGGAGACAAAGGTTGCTTCTGTTCGGTGTCATAGAAAATTTATCAGGGTTGGTTCCCTGATACATACATATATGGATTTTTCTTGCTTCTCCATACCGAATGACTTTAAAGATAGTGAGTTTTGGGGCGCCTGGGTGGCTCAGTCGGTTAAGCAACCGGCTCTTGATTTTGGCTCAGGTCATCATGACCTCACGGTTCGGGAGTCTGAGCTGGGAGGCGGGCCCCATGCTGACAGCCAGGTTCATCCCAGTGCCACATCCACTGGGTCGTCTACGTGTCTTCATCTTTGTGGCAGCGAACAGTGACTGCGCTTTCCTCATGCCCTCCTGCCTCTCTGGAGATTCGTTTCATTCTCTTTTAGCAGATTTTTTCCCTACTTCTTTAGTATTGGTGGGCTTCAGCATTCCCTCATCCCTTTTCATCCTACACACTCAGAGATACCACCTATACACTCGCGGGCAGCCCTCAGATGAGCAGGGCCTTTGTATCCAAACCTTTGTAGCCAGCTGCTTAGTGATAGTTTCCATCCAGGAGTTCTGGTGTACCAACAAGACAGAGGTGAACCGAACATCTCTCTCTTCTTCCAGACCTTTCCTGTCCTATCCCTCATCCCCATCTCAGCTAACAGGGCCAGCCTGCACCTTTTTTACTTAATTTTTTTTAATGTTTATTCATTTTTGAGAGAAAGGACACAAGCAGGGGAGGGTCAGAGAGAGAGGGAGACACAGAATCCAAGCAGGCTCCAGGCTCTGAGTGAGCTGTCAGCACAAAACCTGACGCAGGGCTCGAACTTGGGAACGGTCAGATCATGACCTGAGCCAAATTTGGACACTTAACCAACTGAGCCACGCAGCCTCCCCAGCCTGCACCTTTTAATCAGAAACCTAGACGTCATCCTTCCACCTCACTCCCAGGGATCGGTCATCAGTCCTATTCAGTCTGCCTGCCTCTCAGTCCTGTCTCCTTTCCTCTGTCACTGCCACTGCCTTGATTAGACACTCATCACATTCTGCATGGACAATTCCAGTAGGCACACTACGCATCTCCCTTCCTCTGTCTTCATGTGTATTCCTTACTCCTGCTAATATAATTATATTCATAGGTAAGCTCTAGTCATTAACAACTTCCCTGTTCAGAATTTTCTTTGTTTTAACTTCATTTAATTTTTTAATTTCTATTTACTTACTTACTTACTTACTTTACTTATTTACTTATTTATTTTTGAGAGAGCGAGCACAAGTACCAGCAGGGGAGGGGCAGAGAGAGGGAGAGAGAGCTGACAGAGCAGAGCCCAAACTGCTCTGCAGGGCTTGAACTCACAAACCATAAAATCATGACCACAGCTGAAATCCAGCATCAGATGCTTAAAGGTGCCCCCCTGTTTAGTGATCTCTAATGGCCTGAGGAAGAAAATCCGAAATCTTGGTGTGGGATAAAAGGCTCTCCCTGAGCTGGCCCTACTCATCCCTGCTCTTCAGGGATGATGGTGAGATCCCTTTAAGGACTGCATTTACTCTCAGGGCAAAAGTCATGCCTTAGCACAGCAATACCAGTCACGCATCTCTTCCCTGCCTACCTTTCCACCCCTGCATACACACACACACACACACACCTCGTCAAGATCTTAAGTATTTGTTCAGACTCTTCCTGCACCTAAAACACCCTTCTTCTCTACTCCCCTAGTCTGTGTGATTCGTTCTTGTGTTTTCTTCAAGGCTGGACGCAAGCCCGATCCTCCTCCTCCTCCTCCTCCTCCTCCTCCTCCTTCTCCACTTCCTCCTCCTCCTCCTCCATGATCCTCTCTCCCATCCCACTCCTGCGGAGTCAGGGGTAGCTCTCCGGGGCTGCCACAGCTCCTGGTGTAAGCTTGGAGTTTGGTTCTTCTCTTCTCTTCTTCCTTCCTTCCTTCCCTCCTTCCTTCCTTCCTTCCTTTGTTTCTTCTTTCTTTCTTTCTTTCTTTCTTTCTTTCTTTCTTTCTTTCTTTCTTTCTTCCTTCCTTCCTTCCTTCCTTCCTTCCTTCCTTCCTTCCTTCCTTCCTTCCTTTGTTTCTTTCTTTCTTTCTTTCTTTCTTTCTTTCTTTCCTCCCTCCCTCCCTCCCTCCCTCCCTTCCTTCCTTCTTTCTTTCTTTCCTTCTTTCTTTCAAGTTCATGTATCTATTTTGAGTGAGAAAGAGAACATGCATGAGTGGGGAGGGGGCAGTGAGAGAGAGAATCCCAAGCATGCTCCAAGCTGTCAGTGCAGAGCCTGACTCAAGGCTCAAACTCACAAACCGTGAGATTATGACATGAGCTGAAATCAAGAGTCAGACATTTAACCTGCTGAGCCACCCAGGTGCCCCTTGGTTCTTTTCATACTGCCTTGGAATATAGACTTATGATCTGTATTTTTCCCTGGACTAGTAGCTTCTTTTATAGGGTAGTATCAACAGTGGAGGCTTCAAAGTTATGATTCCTGGATTAGAAACCTGGCTACTTGTCTATGGTCATACCACCCTGAACGTGCCCAATCTTGTCTGATCTCAGAAGCTAGGCAGGGTCAAGCCTGGTTAGTACTTGGATGGGAGACCTGGCTACTTAATTTACCTTCCCTGGACTTCACTTTATTGTGGAAAGTAGGCATAATAAGAACATCTACTTCAGGGGATGGTTCTGAGAACTGAGTGAGGCAGTCCATGTAAAATAGTTTACCTGTGTTTTAAATTCACACCGAAATCACAGCTGTTATTATCAATAGTAACAATATTCTCTGTATTCCCAGTGTGTAGGACAGGCCTGGCACATAGACTTTCAAAGGTTTGAGTGCATCAATAAACAAACCAGTTTATTCACTTTACGAAGCATTTTTATCCATATTAACTTACTCAAAAAGCATAACCAGTTAATGTAATTTGAATAAATGGAAATGAATTTTTTTTTCATAATAATGTAACCTGACAATGACTTTATTATTTTAGTGAAAATTCGAAAATTTAATAAAGCCAAGCCACAGCCTGATGTACTTGAAGAAGAAAAAATCTATGCTTACCCCAGCAATATAACCTCAGAGACTGGATTCAGGTAACCTTTGGGTGGGGTGTAAAAAGACTAGAGAAAGAATTATAAGATTTTTTTTCCCCTGGAAATCTAGAAAACATTCTAATGCTTGGATTTTATGATTATGCATATGCGCCTTTTTCTTTTTTTTTTGTTTTGTTTTGTTTTTTGGTATAAGTTTATTTATTTATTTTGAGAGGAGGGGGGAGAGCCAGAGGGAAAGGGAAGGAGAGAGAATCCCAAGCAAATTCTGCACTGTCAGCATGGAGCCCAATGCCAGACTTGAACTCACAAACCATGAGATCACGACCTGAGCCGAAACCAAAAGTCGGATGCTTAACCAACAGAGCCACCCAGGTGCCCCAAGCATATGTGCCTTTAGAATTAAGTTCCATTTGCTTAATTCCATTCAACTGGGTGAAACCAAGTCTAATGAAAGACTCTCATTTTGGGATATTGCCTTGGCTAAAACATCTTAAAAAAAAGTCACAATTACAATATGCTGTACTGAAAACTCTTAGGGCCCCATTTGCAAAAAGACCAATGGTGAATTTGTGCAACCCATTAATATCTTGATCATTTCCAGGACTATTTCAAGCCTAGAAGACATCGTTGAAAAGCAAGGAGACATAATAGCATACCTGAAGCGACACAATGCTCTGTTGAGTAAGCGGTTGTTGACTTTCACTTCCTCTGATCTAGACTCTCCACCTAATAGAGTGTGAGAGACTCAAGGCCAAGACAGCAGGTGCAGAGGACTCCAGAGTAACGTAAGACTGACTGACCATCCGACAAGCTGTCCTAGGGAATTGCAGCTTTTGCCGGATAACATTTGACGATTTTTGTTGGAAACCTGAATTTCATTCTCACCTGTGCGGCTGTTCAATATGTGGGACTTGGGGGTCACTTGAAAGGCACTTCACAGAGCCTGTGTAACTCAAGGAGGAGGTCTGTTTTTGCACATTTTGAAGTTGTTTAACTGGTTTATCATAGGATCAAAAGTATAATTTAAACATCTCCTCGCCCAACGCTTCTACATGACATTAGAAACCTTGTAATAATTTGTTTATTTATATAGAGGAAGTCTAACTTGATAATCTATTTTAAACAAGGTTTTAATCAAATAAGTTCTTTCCACTCTTAAACTCATGAGACAAGTCATTGTTTCTGGTGGTTGATGTGTTTTTCCGCCTTCAGAGCTTCATCGTGTACTTGACATGCTCGTGTGGTTTGGGATTACAGCGTGGCCTGTGCTTCAGCTTTTGTGAAGCATTTCCTCATTGTAGGACCAAGATCTCACTAGGTGTTTTACTCTGCAAACTCCTACGGTTTTCCATTCTCCAGAAGTAACATACTGAGTTTGCCTGGACCCAGTGTTAGACTGACCAGTGTTGCTTGTTACATCGGCAGCACCTTCCATCAACAATGGCTAGGAAACTTGAGAAATTTCCCTTTATTTTTTTTTTTAAGTTTATTTATTTATTGAGACAGTGGGAGTGAGACATGCACAGGAAAGGCAGAGAGAAAAGAAGAGAGAGAGAGAATCCCAAGCAGGCTCCACACCGTCAGCATGGAGCCCGACATGGGGCTCGAACTCCTGAACTGAGATCATGACCTGAGCCAAAATTACAAGTCAGATTCTCAACCGACTGAGCCACTCAGGTGGCCCCCTCCCTTTATTTTTACCCTTCTTCAAGAAGTTGCCATAGATTTCAGTATTGACTATGCCTTGATTAGATCAAGAAAGGTATTTTCTGTGACTTTAATTTTATCTAAAAAGTGAAAAATGACCTTTTTTAGTCTTAGATTATATGTTTATTGGTTTTGGGTTTTTTTTTTTTTAATTTTAAGTTTTATTTATTTAATTAATCTCTACACCCAACATGGAGCTTGAACTCATGACCCCAAGATCAAGAGTCTCATGCTCTTCCGACTGAGCCAGCCAAATGCCCCTTGGAGTATACTTTTAAATTATAGGAATAAAATGTCATATAAACTTATATAGAGATATTAAACATATCTCATTCTCCAGGTAAAATGAAACATTTGTATGAGTAAAGGGCATTATTTTCCCAGTTTTCCTAGTTTGCCCCTTTAATTTATCCATTTGCTATTAGCACCTTTATATACTGCCCTAGTATAATATTTGTGATTATGTATATTGGTCACTAACTGAATAATATTTTATTTGAAAACCCTTGAGCTATACACAACTATTCGGAAGGGGATGTACTGATTTAGTCACATCCAGGTACTTATGGAGAGCAAACACCAAGTTTCCCTTAGATATAGCTGTGACTGTTGTTCTTTTTTTTTTTTTTTTTTTTGCTGTTAATGTTATTCTAAAAGTTTTTTTACCAAGGTACAAAGGTACAAGTGATGGTGTATCCTGTGTAGGCAGCACCCTGGAATCCCCAAATGACAACATCCACAAACTAAAGCCAGAATTGTATTTTTTAAATTCAGATTGTATCCAAGTTTCTCGACTTCTCCCTCCCTTCTTTTTTTTTTTTTTTTTTTTCTTTTCTTCCTTTTTACTAAGTCTATTTCAAAGTCATTGCCTTGTCTGGAAATCTCTGTGTTCTAGAAGAAGCCATAAACTGCCTTTGTTGGTTTATGGCCACCTCGGGTCCTTCCTGGGTATGATCTGAAAGTGGCCCTTTGTGGAGGACAGAGAGCAACCAGAGGGAGAGGCGGAGTGCTCTAGATTGGTAGGTAGCAAGTTTAATGAACAAGGGAACTTGTGTACGAGGCTTGCCTTGAGCCACTGTCAGGTAAACACATGACTGCATCCAACAGTCAGAATCTTAAAAGTTTTAAAGAGACCTTAACTGGCTTCAGTCACTTATACCATCCAAAGGTCTCAATAGCACATTATTCTCCCAAAGCTGTGTCCTCGGAACAGCCCCCACTCCCACTGTGAGAACTGTGTGCAGAATGTCTATCCCAAGGACAGGGAAGGGGGGCGAGCAGTCTCCGATTGCCCAAGTCCAGCTGATGGGTCAGTTGGCAATCCTGTCCCCTCAATGAGCTCCTCCAACAGCCTTCAGCCATTTTCCTTTTCAAAAGGAAAACACCAGTGGTAGATGATTCTTATTTAAATTCACTTGGATCTATACTCTGTTTCTAAGGTGTATAGGAAGAACTTTGATTTACAGAGAAAGATACAGTTAAAACGTTAGGATGCTCTGATTCTGGGGTGATGTCTGTGTAACCGCAAAAACTTTTCTAAACTCAATAGTAAACATATCAAACAATTAGCAAAAATGAATCCGAGGGTTGCAACTAGGGAAACAGGATAATGAACAGAACACTTTAAATGTTAAGCAAATGTTAAGCACTCTGTTCGCCAGGCAGGTGGTGTGCTGGCACACCAGACACAAAAATTTAGGAGACCCTGGTTTGTAAGGAGGAAGAGGACTAGTATTTCTAGGCTCTGTGCTAAGTAATATAATGGCTGTAAGCCCCAGGAGCTATTGGAACTTCAGGTCAGGGAAGGGGCTGTAGGAATTCCGGGCAAATGAATGAGTAAAGAAGCGAGGCAAACAGCTGCAGAGATCACAAGCGCTGTGCAGTTTAGTGTGACGCAGGACATGGGAGGAGGGACAGACAGCATCAGATCTGGGAGAGTGCCTTGCTGTCCTCTGTGCTAAGTGGCCCGCCCTGGAGTGGGGTCTGCTGAAGAGTCTCAAGCAAGGAAGTGACAGAGTCAGTTTTATTTTCAGGAGGATCAGATTGTAGTGCAAGGTGGGGGAAAGGTAGGTGACAGAAAGATTTGGCTCTGAACTAGGGCAGGAATAATAACATTTTATTGAGAGTCGATATGTATATATGTGTAAATAGATTTCTGTAATTTGGGGATTTTATTTCAGATGACAGTAGCATCATGACTTATATGTGAAAAGCCCATTTTTTAAAAGAGCAATATTGAAAACTATAAGGAAAAAAATGATTTGAAGTCCCGCTACCAGGGAATTGTACCAGTTTATACTGCTTGTTCCCCCATACTCTCACCAACTCTGGGTATTTTCAGTCTATATTTAATTCTAGTCCTTCCAATGGATTAATATATATATATGTATATATATGTATATATATATATATGTCATTGTTTCATAGTGCATTTCCTTGAATGCTAATGAAGTTGAGTGTCCCCCCCCCCCAATATTCTTTGGCCTTTTATCAATCTTTTGTTACCTGTATGTATCATCAGGCTTTGTGCTTATTATTCTACTGGAATTTTCTTTTTTCTTAACAAACATAATCTCAGTTTATATATAAGGATAGTCCTCAGTTTCTCTATTTGTTGGAAATATTTCATTGTTTTGTGATCTTCTGCTATGATCTCTTCAAACACTGCAGCCTAGATTTTTATCTGCTGCTGCCCTGGTGAAAAAGTTCACACAAATGCTTCCCTAAAATCCACATCAGATGTTTTCTTGTGTGAGAGCCGGCAGTCTCTTGCGTGAATTTTAATACGCCCAGCTTCTGCTGGAGGCCCTTTTCCTTCTTCTAGAGATTCTGACCCAAGTCTTACATGAATCAGGCTAAATCTCCTTTTTCCTCTAAGGCAGCATTTTCCAACCTTGGCACTATTTTTTTTTAAATTTTAACATTTATATATTTTTGAGAGACAGAGTGAAACAGAGCACCAAGCGGGGGAGGGGCAGAGAAAGGGGGGGGGATTCTAGGTTCTGAGCTTTCAGCACAGAGCCTGACGTGGGGCTCAAACTCCCAAACCATGAGATCATGACCTGTGCCAAAGTTGGCCAGTTAACCAACTGAGCCACCCAGGCGCCCCCAACCTTGGCAGTGTTGACATTTCAGGTTGGGTTGCCTTTGTTTTGAGGGGCTGTCCTGTGAATTGTAGGATGTTTATTAGTATTTCTGTCTCTAGGATGATCCTACATACAGTTGTTATAGCCCAAAATGTCTCCATAACATGCATTTCATTTCACTTAACACTTAGCATTATATCAGAATGGACCATATGCCAGAGTGTATTCTAGGTGCTGGGAATTCAGGGGTCCGTAAGACAGAGAAAGTTCCTGTTCTCCTGGAGTCTGCATGCTAATGATGGTGATGGGGGCGTGGAGGATGTGAGAGTAGAGGAAAGATGGACTTAAACACAGGTGACAAACCAACCAACTATTGGGTTTGATAAATTCGATTCTGTAAATTAGACCTCATGGAATACTCTTATGTTAATAGGACTTATAGAGAAAATTTAACTTCTGTGTACTGTAACCTTTCAGAAAATCAAACAGCAAATGAAATGAACTTTATGTTCTTCTTTCTCTATCCTTTTTACAGAAAAGACTTACTTTAGTGCTCTCACAACTTGATCAGAGATGCTTTTAGAAGTCTTAAATTCTTAAGGAAACAAACCTTAAAAATATGTCAATCACAAATCACAAAAATCTCAAGACATCACCTAGGTTTCTTAAGGAAAATTGTTTCATTTTTTTAAATTTAGTTTTTAAATATTTATTTATTTTTGAGAGAGAGACAGGGCATGAGTGGGGGAGGGGCAGAGAGAGAGAGAGAGACACAGAATCCAGAGCAGGCTACAGGCTCTGAGCTGTCAGCATACAGCCTGACTTGGGGCTCGAACTATCTAACCATGAGATCATGACCTGAGCTGAAGTCGGATGCTTAACCAACTGAGCTGCCGAAGAGCCTCCCCCAACCTTTTTTTAAAATTAATTTATTTTTGATTGTTTCCTTTCTAAACCAAGGAAGCCTGTCTCTAATTCTTCTCCTCACATTTTCTCTAGTCTTACTTTTCACCCTCCTACTCTACTGAAACCGTTCTTGTGAAGGTTGCCAAGAACACCCTTCTGTATTGCTTGAACTAGGGATGAATGCATAGATCCCCTCTTCCTTAGCCTGTGAGCGGCAGTAGCCTCAGCTGAGCACTCCCTCCGTGATTCATCTTCATTTTGGCTTTCAAGACGCTGCAAACTACCTGGTTGTCTTCTGACCTCACTGGCTTCTTGTTCTGTCTCCTTTGCAGGTTCCTTTTCTTCTCATTGTCGGCGTACTCCAGAGCTCAACCCCTGGGCCTCTTTCTTCTCCTTCAGGACTCACTTTCTTGCTAATCTTGTGTCTTTACTATAAGCCACAAGCTGGCAACTCCCAAACGTGTA